TTTGAAATGTAGAAGGAATGTTTCCCAAGGCTTTGTAGAGGAATCAATTTAGTCATCTACTATAGATTTTTTTTTTCCCTTTTCGAGCACTGAAATTTAACTCGTTCGTATCTGTTTTCCAAATTTCCTGTCTCCTTTAGCTCCTTTCCCAGCTTGGTATCTGTCTGTAAACAATGTTTATAAGCGCCGTCTTGTTTTCTTACTGTGGCAACAAATAATGTTGGGAGTACAGACTGAAATTTCTCGTAGTACAACTACAGTGGTTTTTTGGGGTTTGTTTGGTTTTTGGTTTGTTGGATTTTTTTAGTATTTTTGTCTCCATTTGTTAGTAATGTTTCATGAGGCTTCCCATTAAATATTTAATAGCTTTTCTTAAATGTTTGACTCATGATTTTACTGTGGCAAGTTACTGTCCTATCCTTACACAAAACTTCCTGGTCACAGAGATGCATTTGCAGTGTGTGCTCAAGGCATCACTGGTGTTTCTTGCTGTAGAGACTGCTTTTTGCTGCCTGCTGGGTGCGATACATTCTGGGTTGATGTCCTCTGCCCTTGTTAATTCTGCCGTGGCTGGCATGGGCTGTAATTGTTGATGTAAACAATCATTTATATATAAGCAGCCATGTGAGGAAATGTTTAATCAGGCCAGGATTAACTACTTACATTTTCAAAATCAGGTGTTGACCGCTGACAGGATCTAAAAACTCTAGGACTGTCAATGTGTTCTAATTTGATTGTAGTGAAGTTAAACGTTTCCACTTCCCTGTGTTATTTTGCAGAGGATTAGAGGTTATTTTTACTGCCGCAGTAATGCACTGCAGTAGGGAATGCTGGAAGGTTCTAGCATGCATGACCTGGTTCAGCTGGATAACACTATTGATTTTATTTTAATTTTTTTCTTTCAGTGCCTCTGCTTTAGTTAATTTTAGCTTCATTTTCTGATTCTTGATTAGCTCGCTGGTAAGTTGTCATTACAACTTTCGGCTCCCTAGGGACAAGATCTATAAGGCAGACTTTTCCCGTGGAGGGTCATGATTCAGCCAGTTTACATATAATTTAAGCAGCAGTTGGCCTAATACCTTAAAGTGAAATCTGAGATACTTGGCCAAGAGTCATAAATTAGTGTTTATGTTAAGTACTCTGATTTAGAGACCTGCAGGAGGGGCCGGTGGGACCCATCATGCCCCTTGTGTTCTTTTTTTTCAATAGGCATGTGAAGTTAAAATCTCAAGGAAGATTAAGAAAGTACTTGTACTAAATGCAGAATTGCCACTTAACATTTCATTGGGAAAGCTTTGTTTCATCAAAGTTGCCATAATACCTGTTTGCCCAGGGTCGGTATTTGAATTTATGTTTTAAAGACCTATTCAAATAAATGAGCATAATAAAAATGTCTTTGTGGTTAGAGCAAGCTAATGAGCATTGACTTTCACTTTTACTGATGTTTTGTGGTTCCTGTAAGTTTGGTGCTGAGCTACATTTAGTTACTTGAAATTATTTTTATAAGATACAGAGAGTTTGTCTTGACGTTAACTTCTAGATAGTTTTGTCAAGCTGAGCTGGTGTCTCAGAATGCTGTATTGCGGTGGCAGATGGAGGATAGGTGAATTAGACTTGTCTTTCCTGACTATGTTGGTGCAGACCCTCTGTCACTTCGCCCAAGAAAAGATCATTATTTACTGAAAGACTTCCTGCGTGCATTAATTCTGTGGTCTCCACTTCAGAACCACAGTACCAGCCAGTGTAGAAGTTGGCAGAGATTTTCCTGTTCTTCTTCCACTTTATAGTGCTTATTGTCAGCCCTTACCTTTTGTTGGCACTCTGTAGGAGAAAACTTCAACGCGGTTTTGGTGGCGTGGTTGGTTGTGTTTTTTTTTCCTTTCCCCTATTACAGGCTTCCTCCTGCCACCTGGGAGAGAGTCACTCCTTCTTAGAGGGCCATTAAACTTTTGAGAGTTTGCAGGTGGTGAAGATTCCGCCACATTTCTAATTAAACTCTTCTTTATAGGCAATTATCCTTTCTTTAACCTGCTTCTAGGTTGCATTATGGGGTATTTAAATAATGTGGGGTATTTAACTATCTGCTTTTTTCTGCATCTGAGAGGTTGATTAAGTTTTTCATATTAGAGTTTGAGGGAATTTTAAAAGACATTACATACAGCTAATTGTGTTTCTTTCACTGTTTAATAACATTTTCTGTGGTAATTGTAAGTATGCTGATTAAATGTTTGCTACTGGTTGCTGCCTAAGCCATTTCTGTATTGACTTCTACTGATGTTTTGTTGGAATGGAAATTATGAACACACTTCTGGCAAAATACTGCCCATTTTTATGTAAGTAGTCAATAAATTTTGGCTTTTATTAGTGTAGCTAATATATATTCTTGTTGATGAGGAGGAAAACCCTACATATGTTTCCCAGTTTTGTACATAAAAATATAACAATTAAGAACTTGACTGCATCTTAGCACATTTGCTGGATAAATACATGGAAGCATTTTATAGTTAAATAAATGCTTACATCGGGTATAAAAATTAAAATATTTGTTTAAAACACAAGAAGAAAAGAAAAAAGCCTCAAAAGAAAAAAGCTTCAATGGTGATCTCTTGAAATGTTGTCGGCCAACAGCCTAATGATGTGCATTGCATAGTCTTCAGGAGATCCTCCACTTGGTAAGCCATCTCAAATATGTTACTTAGTCTATTGGAGGAGTACAGGAATACACAATAAAAAATAAACAAACCACACACACACACACAAAACACAAAAAACCTCAACCAAAACCAAAACCGAACAAAAAAAACCAAACAAAAACCCCAAAACAAACAAACAAGCAAAAAAACCCCAACAAAAACAAGATGCTGTGGAGGAGAAGCCCATAGAGCTGTGCTGTTTTTAAGAGATTTTTCCTGCAGGTGTTTGTAGCAATAAATTTCATTTAAATGGTGTTGTTCCTTATAAGTCTTACAGGCTATTCTATTATCTCCTCCACTGTAGAGGAGAACTGAAGTGTTTGGTCTGGTGCTGAACTGCCAGAGGTATAGCCGAGGGAAAGCATGCTCTGTATTTTTACTGAAAGCTGCTTTCTTCGCTGACTGCCATAGCTGGTGAAGGAGGTGGACACCCTGAACAAAGTTCTGCTGTTGCTTATGTATCCTAAGTGCGTGTGAAGCTGCCTGTGTTCACTGAGAAAGTGAACCTCAAAGCTAGACGCAGTTGTTTGAAAAGCTGCATTTCTAATGTTCTCCTTCACTGCTTGTTACTTCATTTAAACTGAATTGATTGTCATCATCTGCACTGGTCTAAGTGCTATTCTGTGCCTTCTCTGCAAGGAGAACTCCTGTGGTGGCAGATTTTGGTGAAGTTCCCTCGCAGGTGAGCTGTTAGGTACTGGAATTAATAATCACAAAATGGTAGGGGTTGGAAGGGACCTCTGGAGAGCATCCAGTCCAACCCCTCTGCTGAAGCAGGATCACCCAGAGAAGATCACACAGGGCCAGGTGGGATTTGAGTGTTTGCAGACGTTCAAATGCATGTCACTGCATCTTCCATTCTTAAATACTCGGTAATACCTGTAAAACAAAAGTGATGTGGTATGTGTACTTTATAAGGCACGTGTTTGGCGCATCCATGGTACGGCACTGTAGTTTAGGTAAACAGGAATTATTCCTTCATTCCCACAGGATTGTATGGAAAAGAAGTCCAACTACAGCAATGATTATTTGAAAATGAAATTGAGATATTTTTAGCTGTAATATTACACATGTTCTAATCTGAAAAATATCATCTATCTCTGTGGAAATTGGGATGTAATTGGTTAGTTACTGAACTTAGTTATTTGAAAAAGAAGGACAAGTGCCACAGTGTTCATGAACTGCATGAAGTGTCCTAAATGAGTTTGTCAGTCATCTAGATGCTGGCATTTGATACTCTGGCTTTAGTTTAGTTTTTATTCAAAGCAAAGGTAATGTTCTAATTGATTTCAAAGGTCATCTGATACCAAGTGCTTAGATTATTTTTTTCCAATTATTTTTCTTTTTTTAAGTCCCCTTACCCTGCCTGCTTTTTTTTCTCTTTGACTGGATGGCTTTGAGAGCAGAGAAAGAAAGGGCACTGGTGCAGCTTTTGGCTGGAGGAGCTGAACAGAATGGAAGGGAGTGGTGGGAATATCTTTGCATGTGGTTGGAAAAGGAACTGTGCTACAAAATGGGATGGCTTTGAACAGTGTTGGATGTGTTTGATTTATTTTTTTTAGTTGCAAAGTGTTGGTAAAGAATAAAATTCTAAAATAATATTGTGAATCAAAAATTAAGAATTTAAGAGTGTATCAGTGATTTTAAGTGAAAAAAATGCTGTAATTACTGTACAGTCTAATCTAATTGGAGCGAGGAGGTAGTTGTGCTGATAGAAGGCAGTTTTTTCAGTACTGAATTCCTGTGTGAAGAGGAGTCTCTGTACTGTGATTTTTTTTCTTATCTCCTCCCCCCCTCCACCGCAATATCAAGCGCACATGAAGATGAAAGCATAGCTTGAAATAATTTGACAGCCTAAAGGACACAAAACAGGACAGTGCAAGTGTGAACTTGGTGGTTTTTATGGAGTCTTACAGCCAGCATTCATTTTACAGCTTGCTTTCCAATTTATATGTGCGTAGTATTTGTCTTCGTGTATAAGTATAATACAGTCTACTTTGCGTCTCTGAAATGTCAGTGAGAACAACTTCACAGAAAGCTTTAAAACATCTTTCTGCATTAAGTACCAATGGGCATTTGAACATGAATCTTCTCAGTTCTGCAATTTCTTCCTCAGCAAAGTACAGCTTCCTTTTATTTCTCAGAATTATTTCAGAAATCTTAAAATAATTTGCATTGTATTTAATATGAAGATAATAAGCTAACTTTAAATAAACTTTTCTGTTTTCTTGTGTGTCTCGTTCTGCAGGTTAAAGTAGTGGGAGGAACGAAACCCAGAGATATCATTGGCTGGATAGACTTTTCAACATGAACCGTGCTTTTAGCAGGAAGAAGGGTAAGTAATTTAGCTTATGTTCCATGGGAAACATAAATACCCTGTATAATTTCTTTAGAATATCAAGAATTATACAAGGAAGTACTTAAGAATAATGGCACCTAATTAACTAGGTAGAGATGGGCAGCCTTCTATAAGATGTGCCGAGTAAAGCAATCTCGATTGATAGTTCTGGAGCTTTTTGGATCAGGAGGCTCATGTTATATCTCATAATGTTTTCTTTATTGAGAGGGATGTGTGTGTGCATGTATATATTTAAATACTGCCAAGGTTTAGGGCTGGGCTGGCCACTAAGTGCTGGACAGATGCTCTCTATTACACCCCTCCCCACGCCAGGAGGGGAAGAGAAGGAGAATAAGGGAGAGGGGCTTTATGGGTTGGAAAAGGAAACTAACAGATTTAATGAAACAGTAATACTAAACATGATAATTGTGTAAATAGGAAAAAATATAACACCAAAATAAAATCCTCCCCCCATCCCCCCCAGTGATGTTTACATCACCAGAGGCTCTGCAGAGCAGGGCAGTGGAAAAGTCCCAGACTGGACCCAGCAGCAGTGGGATGCAGGGGCTGGATTTAGGAACATGTGGATCAGGATCGGACGCAGACGAACCAGCAGAGTTCTGCTTGGACTTAGGCCATCACAGAAATACAGGGGGAAGAGAAGAGAAAGGATGGGACCCTTGTGATCCCTCAGCTTTATACTGAGTATGACATGTGTGGGATGGAATACCTCATTGGTCAGCTTTGGGTCATCTGTCCTGTCCGCTCCTCCCTGCAGGTGCATATACGGCACCCATGGTGTGACGGTAGCCTTGCCATGTTTACATAGCATACAAGCACTATCACTTGTAGAAGTGAACACCGTCTGGAAAAACGTGCAGTTAGTTTCGGAAAGTATAGTCACATAGAAGAGACTGAGCTGAAAAATAAAAACACTAAATAGAAAATTAGTTCTATTTAGCTCAAACTGGGACAAATACACACACTTTTCTTTACTGCACACACCAAAGGATGTGCTGGAGAGCTTTAGAACTTCTGAAGACTTAGAGACTTCTGTATTTATTATATATATTCACTGAGTTCTTATCCTTGGAGAAGCTATTTTAGGAAACTCTTATTATACTTGAACTTCAGTCGGCTGTCAACCAACACCCCCAGGTCCTTTTCTGCCTGGCAGCTCCAGCCACTCTTCCCCAAGCCTGTAGCGCTGCATGGGGTTGTTGTGACCCAAGTGCAGGACCTGGCACTTGGCCTTGTTGAAGCTGATCCAATTGGCCTCAGCCCATCAACCAGCCTATCCAAGTCCCTCTGCAGAGACATCCTACCCTCGAGCAGATCAACACTCCCACCCAGTTTGGTATTGTCTGCAAACTTTCTGAGGGAGCACTCAATCCGCTGAGAGAGATGTTAAACAGAACTGGCCCCAGAACTGAGCCCTGGGGAACACTGCTTATGACCAGCCACCAGCTAGATTTAGTTCCATTCACCACAACTCTGCTCGGCCATCCAGCCAGTTTTTATTCCAGAGAAGAGTAAACTTGTCCAAGCCATGCCCAGCCAGCTTCTCCAGGAGGATGCTGTGGGAGACGGTGTCAAAGGCCTTACTAAAGTCCAGGTAGACAACGTCCACAGCCTTTGCTTCATCCACTAGGTGGGTCTCCTGGTCATAGAAGGAGATCAGGTTCATCAGGCAGGACCTGCCTTTCATGAACCCGTGCTGGCTTAGGCTATTTTACTTTGAACAGATACTGTCTCTTGACTTCAGTGCAAGTTGATTTGACTACCAATTGCATGTGTTATAGAGAAGATCCTGTTGCAGAAATGTATGACTATACCAACTGTACAAAAACATCTATTCTGTTCTTCATTCATTGATCAATGAGTGCAGTTTACTCTATTGAATTAGTTTTTATAGATCTCTTTTTTTAAAGATCTCATTCCTTCTCTCATAAAAACAAATTGTAGAAGAACATTATGTATATTCTTGCTGCTTTATGACAAAGCTTGAGAAAACATTCATGCATCTATCCCAGTATCAGGGATGCTTTTGTATGTGATCCAGGTTTGGATCATGGTTTCTAAAGACGCCTCTTAACTTTTCCTTTAAAAAAAGGAGGAATTTTCTTTTCAAGTTTGGTAACATGCTCAGCTTGAAATGTCATGTTGTGAAAAGTCTGTATTGCAGATCAAAGTCTGTTAATCTTGAAACGTTTTCATCTTGACAAATTCAGTCTCTCTTAAATATCTTAGAGTTATGAATGTAATTCTTCTGTAAGAGACCTTTGTAAATGCTATATTTTCATGTATTTGCTTTTCTGTAGACAAAACATGGATGCACACTCCTGAAGCCTTATCAAAGCATTTTATTCCCTACAATGCAAAGGTAAGAACATACGAAGTTATTTTGTCCTCTTACCCTTAGAGCACAGCACATTCTATGTTTTAATTTGAAAACTGCAGAGACATGAATTAGCCAAATAAAATAGTGAGGAAAAACTTACTAAATGTCTGTTTTGCATATGAAAAATTTCTGTTTCTTAAATAATGGCCAATTGATTCTTGTTCTGAATGTTTTGATGGTTTTCTAGAAAGCAAACCACTGTTCCTTTTCTGCTTGATGCTGTGTTTCGTTTTAATGGATGCTAAGTGGATGGAAATGTTGAGTGCCAAGGAGTTTAACATCAGGCTGCATGCTTACAGTATTATAAAAATTAATAGCACAAACTTCTTCTGAACAATGGCAAAGGCAATGAGTAATGATCCTATCTGCTGAATATATTGCAATGTCCAATACTCCGGAAATATTGTAGAATAATAATGGAGTTTTTGCACAGTGAAAACCGGAGTCTTACTCATGCTTTCTTATACCAGTTACAATGCAGTTCTACAGTAGTATTTCAATTGATCTAATGGCATCTGTTCTGCTTCTGCTCCTGTTTAATGTGAGTTCTGTCCTCGCAGGACATCCTTGACCTCCCTGCTGTTGCTGCTAAGGTCTGGCAGAATACTCGCAGGGAGCTGCAATGTGCTGCAGCCTGCGTGGTTAAAAAAAAAGTTACCCATTTTTTCATGTGGAACACAGTAGAAAATTATTATTTAGAGCTGTCAGATACTCGATGCATTATTCCAAAGCAAGTGAAAAAATGTTCTGCTCTGTAACTGGAGTGTCAAGGGTATGGGATTTCCACATCCCCTTTTTTATTGAGAACTGGCATAAATTTTGTGCAGCTTTTATGAGGCTCGCTGGCATATACAGACATAACAACATTATTAGATCCCCAGGATGTTTCTACTTCAGTTCTCAAGTACCATTTTCATTAAGTTTTGCAGTATTGCTCTTTTTAAGAGGAAAGTGTGTATCTATTAGTACCTCATTTGGATTTTGTAATGTTTTGATTTTTAAAATATCCCACTGATTTCATCTCTTGTAACTAGATTGTGAAATAATGATTAAAAACTCAGGAAGCATTCATAAAGTGAGTACTGAAAAAAAAAACCTCACTGATTTTTTCTTTTCTTTTCCAAATGTTTGTGGTGTTCCACTTCCAATCCTATAACATTATATTCATATAACTTTTATATTTGTTGGGTGGAAGAGATAACACTTTATCTGGTTTATTTTAAAAGGTAATTATGTCAGTGAAGAATGGCATGTTCAGAAAATCAAATCAATTTGATGTCAAGCGATACCATGATAAAAAAAAGAAAAAAAAGTTCTTTTTCCATGGGCAAGTGAGCTGTATTCTGCTTCGAAGCTTCTTGAATACTAATTACCGTAGTTGAAGAACAGTGTTTCCTCTTCTTTATTAGATATAAGAATCATTTCTCTGACACCAGTCTTCCAAGATGATCAGAAGAAGGAGAGTTTACTAAGAGTGCTGGAAAAGATGGGGTTTTGTTTGCTTGCTTGATTCCTAAGACATCTTTAAGAATTAAAGAAAGCTTCTTGATTAAGTGCAGCTCATGAGTTGACTGTTACCTTATAGAAAACTATCCTAGCAAAGTTAAGAATTCCTGTTTCTGTGTCTGTAATGTCATTGTATGCTGCCATGGCAAAAGAGTTCAGCATTATCATGTTAGTCAAGGACAAAGGAGGTAGAAATTAGTTTGGAGCAAAATAAACTTTATTCATGACATCGAAAATGTCTGTGAAATTGTATCTGCTTTTATAAGATACTATAGATATTTTCCAGTACAAAAGAATAACTTCAATACTTTCCCATGTGTCTTTTTTATTATATATACTGTATATAAATAAATCCATCACAGTGTCTTCCACAACTTGTAAAGGTGGTTTACATTGAACAGAGGAAGGTTCTAATGGTTCTGTGTCCCACCTTCAGTCTGGAGAAGCTATTGCAAGCTGAATGAATTGCGCAATTCCACACTGAACCGGCACATGGACACTCTTGGCTGTTCTTGTACGTGTTGTTTTGAAAGAAAGAACATGAAGCCTGCGCTCAGATTCCTGCCTAACAATGACATCATCTGGGAAATATCTTCCTGAAGGAACAGGCTGTTTCTGAATGACATCATGGCCTGTTTATTTATGTGGCTTAGAGGTGCACCCCTAATTAAGCTGCCTCACTCCCTTAAAGAAGCTCTGAGTTAATAAAAGTGCTCCAAATTTTAGAAAGATTTGTCTTACTGGTAAAGTGGAATGCTTTTGCCAGTTCTATGAACTAAGATTGATTTTGTTATCAAATACTTGACAGCTTGGCTTGTTTCTTCATAGGAGTGTTTTGTCATTTCTGTTCAGTTTTCATTGTTCTGGGGGAGTTTTTGTTTGATAGACTGAGTATCTGGACAGATGGAGCTTAAGAATACTAAGTTGAAGCTTTAACTTGCTATATTTTGTGAAAAAAGCCAGATAGCCTGCAAAATGCTAATACAGAGCAGACCAGTACATGCTACAATTAAAAGAACAGTGGGATTATGAAGAGCAGCAGCTTCATACAGCAGGACAAAATAGAGCCAAAACCTAGGACAGCGGTTTTGCACGTCTTGTGCAGGTTGTTACAGTGCTAACTCTTAAGAGCTGTGAGCGCTTGGGCTTTTGATCTTGCTGTTCCTCTCATTGTAGCTTTGTACTGGGTTGGGTGTTTGTGAGGGGTAAGGGTCTGTCCTTTATGAAATGCTAAAGAAAATGAACTGTAACCTCGATTTGGGTAGACTATGTAGGTTTATACAAGCAGTAACAATGATCACATTGTTTTCCTGCAGTGCAGGGAACTTCCTCTAGACTTGCCAGTGTTGCTAGCTGGCAGCTGTGGACATCGAGTGGGAATTGGAGCAAAGGTGGTCTCGGTTCTTAAGTTTCTAACGGCCCATTGGACATCTTTGCAAGAGGGTCTGTAGATGTAGAGCTGTTTGTACTACCTCACTACATTTGAGTGGAATATAGGAATTGTTGAAGTTGTCTTATAGTTAATGTAAATTAAATCACCATATTGGCATCTGGTTTATGAAAAAAAAAGGCAAACAAGATGTCAACTTTTTTACATTAAAGTATTTGAAAATAACTAGGACTTGGTGAAAATAGCATTTCAATAAATTTGAGGGCTTAGTCTAACTTTACTATTTCCATAAAGAAGTGATGTTTG